CTTTAAGACTTGTGGACTTCAACTCCCAGAATTCCTCAGCCAGCTTTGCTGGCTGAGGAATTCTGGGAGTTGAAGTCCACAAGTCTTAAAGTTGCCAAGGTTGGACACCCCTGCGCTACTGGTTCTCCAGAACTGGTCAGAACCTGCTAAATACCACCTCTGGTTTGGATTAGTTCTTGCATCCAGCTAGGGAAAATGTGGACTGGTTTGGAGAACTGGTAGGGAAAATTTTGACTGCCCCCCACCCACCCACCCACCCGCTCTTACTTCTCACCTCTCCTATATCCTGTTGTTTCTTAGCTCAGCTGCAGACCGGATTCCCACGCCTCAGCTGAGCTAAAAAAAAAAAAACAGCTGATGGTCGGTGTTGCTGTTTACCTGCGTGTGAGATTACTTCCCGGAGTTAAAACACAAAATCGTAGGGCTGGAAGGGACCTTGAAGGTCATCTAGTCCAATTCCCTCTTCAGCTCCTCAAGGAGGCAACTTGTTCCATTTAAACAATAACAGTATAATAGAAGAACCACTGACAATTTAACAGAAGAACCAGTTCCAAGTTGGAGAGGATGCTTTGGACCACGATTCAGACTCTTCTCCTGAAGGGTTAGGGAAGTTTGCTGGTAGGTTGAAAGGTATTGCAGCTGGAAATAAGGTGGATGGCATTTTTCATCTCATTTAGTTGGAAGGGGGAGAAACAGCAGGATTCAAGTGTCTGTCGTTGCCATCCATAACACACCTTCCCAAAATCTTGAAACCACTCTTCAATCAAAGGATTTTCAGAAGAAAGTTAGGGGAAGAGGGAGGGAGGGAGGGAGGGAGGAAGGAAGAGAAGGAAGGAAGGAAGGAAGGAAGGAAGGAAGGAAGGAAGGAAGGAAGGAAGGAAGGAAGGAAGGAAGGAGAGAGAGAGAGAGAGAAGCTCTGTAATTGGCCTGCCTCAGGTGACTTCTTGAAACCAGCTGCAGAATTTAGGACCTTAAGCTCTCCCTAGGAATGAGAAGCTGTGAGGGACAACCCATAATAAACCTGAAGCCCGAGTTTTTGGCAGCCTTGCATCTTTTTCCAGAGCATTTGCTCCTTAGGAGACACATTTATTTTGTTAATTTATATCTTCTCAAGGAGCTTCAGGCAAATCCCTCCTTCAGTTTTCTTACCACAACCTTGTGAGGTGAGCTGGGCCAAGCGTTCACACCCATTGAACCGTCTGTAACTGAGGGTGGACTTTGCTTCTCGCCCAACCTGTGAAGGTTGGAAAACATCAGCTGCAAACGAAGACTTTTGTAGGGCCCTGGGGGAGAATTCCATCACTAAGGCCGGGTAATTAAATTATATTGAAGGTGTCCCGGGATTAATGAGATAGCTTGGATTTACTGTAGGTATCTTTTAATGGTTGTGTTATTGATTGCACTGATCTATTCTTCTGCACCCATTTATCTTAATCTTGAAGGCTTAAGATGAATTCCACTCCTTTGCATAGACAGAACATCTGGATGGGGATTCTGCCATAGACAATGATGGTCAAGAATACTTACTAGCTCAGCCCAGATTTTTTTTTTAAGGCACAGATGTCAATTTTGTAGAGCTAAGAAGGAAAACAGCCCTTCTTTGATATGGTTGTTCACTTGGCTATGCTGGAAATTGCCTTCCCAAAACCTATGGGACTGAGAGCCCATTTAGCCAAAGCTGGAAGACCTAATACCGCTCTTATCAAACCTTAGTAAGATCCCACCTAGAATACTGCATCCAATTTTGGTCACCACACTATCTTGGATCTTGGAGTCTTAGCAAACAACCAGTGTAAATATGAGCCAGCAGTGCGTGGCAACAGCCAAAAAAGCCAATGCAATCCTAAGTTGCATTAGTAGAGGGATGCAATCAAGATCAAGGGAGGTACTAATACCACTCTAAAGCCTTAGTAAGACCACACCTAGAGTACTGCATCCAGTTTTGGTCACCACACTATAAAAATATTGAGAGTCTAGAAAGAGTGCAGAGAAGAGCAACCAAGATAATTAGGGGACTGGAGGATAAAACATACGATGAACGGTTGCAGGAACTGGGCAATGTAGTCTAGTGAAGAGAAGGACCAGGGGAGACAGGATAGCAGTGTTCCAACATTTGAAGGGCTGCCCCAGAGAGGAGGAGGAAGGGGTCAAGCTGTTTTCCAAGGCACCTGAATGCCAGACAAGGAATACTGGATGGAAACTGAACAAGGAGAGATTCAACCTAGAAATAAGGAGGAATTTTCTGACAGTGAGAACAATCAACTAATGGAACGGAAGTTGCCTTCAGAAGTTGTGGGAGCTTCATCACTGGAGGCTTTTAAGAAGAGACTGGACTGCCCTCTGTCAGAAACGGTGGTGGGCCTCCTGCTTGGGAGGGGGGGTTGGACTAGATGACCTTTACAACTCTGTTCATCTCTATCTTTTGGCATTGGGTGGGCCACCCATAAGCAAGACAAGAACGAGGCTCAAGAGAAAAAGAATTTTTAATGCATTCATGGCCTTCTCTCCTTTTCCCAGGTTCAGTTATTGGCCATGATCTGGTCGGCCCAGGCACGCAAGACACTGACCCGACCATAGACAGCCGGTGTGCTGATCGAGCAGCGGCTGCTACCCCAAGAAACGATGCCCACCAACTTCCAAATATTGCCATTCTGACACACCAGCGGTCCACCAGAGTCACCCTGCAGATACCAAAAACAAAAACAAAAAAGGGGTTTGAGTTCCTTGGAGACCCCACTTTGTTTGGGGGTGGGATTGGCCCCAATTTTCCCCACTTGGCATCTGGAAGCCAAAAGATCTTGCAGGTTCAGCTGAAATGTGGGCTTAAAGCACGTCGAACCAAGAACCAAGTCAGTGAAAACATTTGTGCCACCCACTAAGCTTGTCTGGTGTAAACCTGGTTAGTTTCCGTGTGGCTTGTTTAAACTAGCCCGCTTTGGTAGTTTATCATGCACGTCTTGAATAACTGAGAAATTGGGGCGAATGATTAATTCAACTAATCCATTAATTAATATGAACACAACTACTGTTTTTTTTTTATAGATCATCCTTCAACGCCAACATGGGGAAAAATGGTAATCCCCATCTGACCCAAGGCTCCCACACACACATAAAAAAAAAATGTTGGGTGACCCTTAGTCCCTAACTTGGATTAAAAACATTTTCCTTTAAATACCAACTCATAAGGAAATAGTAGAACTACTATATTTGGGCTGTAATCCTCCAAATGGCCACTAGAGGGAAGCAAAGGGCAACAAAGTTGTCTAGACCAGTGGTTTTTAACCTGTGGTCTGCAGCCCCCTAGAGGGCCATGATGCTCTCACAGGACTGAAAGCTTGTAGAATGAAATCTCAAGATAAGATTTGGGGGTCTATGGCATAGTCCCTGGCCACAAAAGGTATTTAAAGGGTCTGTGGTGAAGAAAAGGTCTGTTTTAAGATAAGACTGCTGGGTGGGGCATTCTGGGACTTGAAGTGCAGAGAAGAGCAACCAGGGTGATGAGGGGACTGGAGAATAAAACATATGATGAACTGTTACAGGAAGTGGGCCTGGCTAGTCTAGGGAAGAGAAGGACCAGGGGAGACAGGAGAGCATCTTCCAATATTTGAGGGGCTGCCCCAGAGAGGAGGAGGAAGGGGTCAAGCTATTCTCCAAGGCCCCCGAAAGGCCAGACAAGGAATAATGGATGGAAACTGAACAAGGAGAGATTCAACCTGGAAATAAGGAGAAACTTTCTGACAGTGAGAGCAATCAACCAAAGGAACAGAAGTTGCCTTCGGAAGTTGTGGGAGCTTCATCCCTGGAGCCTTTCAAGAAGAGACTGGACGGCCACCTGTCAGAAATGGTGTAGGGTCTTCTGTTTGGGTGGGGTGGGGGTTGGACTAGATGGCCTCCAAGGTCCCTTCCAACTCTGTTAATCAGTTAAATCCACCTATTTTAAAAACGGATCCAGACAACTCTAATCCTTTGCTGCCCTCTAGTGGACATTTGGAGAGCTTCTTAAAAGTTGCTGAGGTTTAGATTTTTGCAACCCCAATAAGACTAGCTTAAAAAAGAGCAATACGCCAATGGAGGAGATTTGGGTGTGTGTGTGTGTGTGTGTGTGTGTGTGCTCACCATACATGAAGAAGAGCCTGCTGCACCGGCGCAGATCATCGAGTCAGTGATTTTGTTGCCCCAGAATTCACTGCACTGCTGATTGGACAGGAGAGGCAGGGCTGTTTGTTGCAACTTGCAAGGGGTGTCGAAAGCTGCAAGAGAAAAGATTAAATCAGCGGCTAGGAGGTTTCCGGTGTTAAAGGATCTCATTCGTCTTTGGCTGCTCTCTGGCCTCCCCTGAGCTCAGAACTCACCCCCAGAAGGCTGATCAGCTGCTCCGTGTTAGATTTTTCTTAGCTCCCCCCACCCCCCAGATCCCTGTTGGCATCATGCTGGAGATACAACAACACCCCTTTGGCCTATGATTGCAACCTGAAGTGCTTGCAGTAGACAGAGAGAAATCCGTTTATCTTCCCGTTTCCCCTGCCTTCCCTTCCTCTGTTATTTCCCCTCAGCTGAATTTCAAAAGTAAATGTTTCAGGGCAGGATTTAAGTTTTTTGTACTTCAATGCCACGCAATGTTGGAAGTTAAAACCCACCCAACCCCTCCTAGAAAAATGAAATACTTTAGGATATATCTAAAAGGCAGAATAGTTCCCCTAAAAGAGAAGTAGAAACTCAGAGAGGCAGAAACTCAGCCCCCTCCCACCTTGGCTAACAAGTCATTAAGGCCTGGGGCAGTCTATTCTACACAACAAAGATCTACTCCAGGTAGAGCTATAATAGGAATTGCCCAAAGCTCTTTCATTACATCATCATCCAGCAAGGCTCAACCAAGCCTGGGACTCAGGACAGCCTACGGAGTTGCCCCTGCATGGCCCCATGGGAGTCTGACAACCAATCAGAATACAAGCTCAAATTCAAATCCCAACAGAGGGCATAAAACCCAGGGATTCTCAGCATCTCATTCCCTTTTTTCCTCCTAGGATCTCCAAGGCAGGTGATCCTGTTCATCAGTAAACCTTCTTTTCCAAGCAACTTCCATGAATCCAGTGTCTTTTTCCCCACTTGGAACTGAACCCAGAAGGATATTTCTTCCAACAGCAGAAAATAAGTTCATAGTTGAGTTGATGGTGTTGGCTAGGAGGAACTAGCAAGCTCCTCTTCCCTCCTTTTCCTTTCCTTTCCCCTCTCCTCTCCTCTCCCCTCTTCCCTTCTCGCCACTCGCCTCTCTTCATCACTCCCTTCCTTCCTCTCCCCTCTTTTTCCCCCAGTTTTTTTTAAATTTTTTACACATCTCTTCATGTGAGCAATGTGATTCCAGATTACAATATTTATACATAGTCATAGTTACACTTTCAACTTTCTTAATTAATATCACTTCAAATTATTATCCATTCGACTAATCGTTAGATAAATTTCCCTTTCAATATTTCAATTCATTAATTCAATATCAAAATAATTTCATCCTCACATATATTTTCAATTCTTTATCCCCTATTATTTCCATTTTCAGCTTACCACCTATTTTATGTTACCTTATGTAGTTATCATCTATAACTTTCTCAAGACCAATATATAATTAAGACAGTCAATGAAAGAAAAAACGAATAAAACTAAAGTAAGATTAATACATTTAGGATCCACATGGTATATCCCCCCATCTACAATATATCTGATATCTATGCCAGAGATATTCATATAATCATTTCATATTTTTTCTGTTTCCAAAATGTACCTATATAATTTTAATACATTTTCATTCCCTTGCTTTTGATTATAATATAATTCATTCATTATAAATATTTTACATTCCCACATAATCCCTTCTAGTTAATTATATTTTCTATTTTCTCATATCCTTTGTATAATCAATTGTATTTTCTATTTCATGTATAGCACAAAGAAAAAAATAAAATAAAAACAGAGTTAATTTCCACTTTTACTTCCCTTTGACCAATATTAACCTATAGCATTTATAATTCACACTTTTTAAACATAATTAATACCAGATTTTCACCCGTGATCATATTCTCTGTTTTCCTAATATTATTTAAGTAGTCATTCGCATATTTTAGAATATATATGTGTGTGTGTGTGTGTGTGTGTGTGTGTATGTATGTATGGTATTCAGCTTTGTTCGGGTATTTTCCCACGTCATTATAGTTGTGCTTTTAAAGTTGTAGCAACGTTTCGGCAGAATCTCATCTGCCATCATCAGGCTTCTGTATTGTGTTCGTCTGTGAGTCAGACTTTCATCCATATATATATGGATTAATAACAATAGAACCCTCTTAATATCACTCACTCCATCTCCATTTTTCTCATCTATAATTATCTAATAATCTTAAGGTAACTCCTGATAAGTTATAAACTTCAAATCTCCCCAGTCTACATTTCTAATAAAAAATACAAAGATACATTCCCATGTGGTGTCCCCATTTTATGCTATATCTAACCTTTATCTCTAAATCTCTCTGCCTTGTCATTTCTCTTAATTTTAGCCAGCTTTCCTTTTACTAAGTTTTCCTGGCCTTTCCTCTTTATCCCTCTTTTTTTCCTCTAATATTACGTTTATTTCCATCTGCCAGTCCCCCATCTTTCCTCCCCCACTTTCCTTTTCTCTTTTTTGAAATTTCTTCTTGTACAGCTTCTTCTTTTGCTTACTCTTGGGAGCTTTTTCTCTTTTATTTATTATCTCTGTCATCAATGTCTTAGTTTTAGTTCCTTCCTCTCCCCTCTATTCCTGTCTCACTTTCACCCTTTCCCTTTCCTTCTCTTTTTCATCCCTTCCCTTCCCTTTCCTTGGCCCTCAGGTACCACCTATTCTCTCAGGTTGTACAATACACCTCCCTACTCCTTGGTGAAGTGTGAGAAGAAGCCCTCAGCTTTCTTTCACAAACTGGGAGCAAAGATCCTGGAGATACTAGCTTTCAGGAGAAATCGTTGGTCTCAAGACAGGCAGGTACTGGGGAATGCGGAGTTTCTTAATTTAGATGGCTCCAACTCTCCAACTTATGGGTTGAGTCGCAGAGATATTTTTTGCTGTGCTAGCTGGTCCCTCTGTGGTTGTACATAAAATAAAACCTCTGTTCTGACCCAGGCTTTGTAAACCGTAATTGTTCACAAACTTGTTTTAAAAACAAAACCTATTTTATTGCAATGCTGGGAATTGTATTCATTCCCAGCCAGAATTAAACTCAAGCAGTTCCCCAAGATAAGCACACACCTTTCAGTTCTGTGAAGTGCTGCCAAAAACAGAAGTATCAAATGAACTAGAAAAGAAACCAACCAAAGTACAAAGAGCTTTCAGGATGACTCGGAACCGATCGAACGACTTTGCTTCCTGCAAAGGTTTCATCATCTTTGCCTGTCCTTTATACCTTAGGGGAAGGGCAATCATAACCTCAGCCTTACTCCCGAGTCGCCTCTTTTGTTTCAGCTGTTCTCGCCTTCTAGCAGCTCTGTGCACACGCACACTGGGAACAGGCTCCCCTGGGTCCTCTGCCTCGCTGCTGCCAGACTCCAAAGGCTTCAAAGGCAGCACCCCATTCCCAGATGGCCCTGGCCCCATCTCTGCATCGGACGCAGGACCCTCGTCCGAGTCTTCTCCAGACTCTCGGACTGGTCCCCATTCTTCCCCGCTGTCTGATTCTGCTGCCGTCGGCACCGGCTGCTGGCGAACCACAACAACTTCCAGATGACTTACATGGACCTAAGGAATCTTTCTTGGGAGCAGAAGAAGACCCCTGCCATTGCTGCCTTCCAACTTTTGTCCATCCTAGACCTGGCCGTGTTTAGCCAAAGCTGGTTAGGGCAATCCTCTTTTCACCACTTCCCTACTGGCTCAAACTTACTTCTTCATTCTTCTTCACGCTAGTTTCAAACCAAGCAGAAGGAAGAAGCAGACCCCTAAATAGCCCACATGGCTCTCAGACCCACCATTGTACCGCGTCTTCCCCCAGCCAGTGGTGACACAGAGGTCTCCACTCTGGAACGAGTCTGTGGCATCGGTCAGGCACACGGGAGACACGGTGTCACTGAACGTGGCAGGGGTGGCCAGCTTGATAAGGGCGATATCGTTGTTGAGTTTCCCGGAGTCCCAGTCAGGATGGACAAAGACCTGGTGGGAGAAGAGAGAAGCTGTTAAGGCTGCAAGGAGGAGGTGGTGACGTGGAGGAAGTCCAGAAGTTCATTAGGTCCCTTCTGGCTTATCTTTGCTTACGGGTTTGCCCATCACCCTTTGCCAGTCTTTTGATTTCCAGATCAGGAAATCAAAGTTATGAAGGCTGAGGCTACTTTTGGCATAAAGTTTATAGTAACAGAATATAGAATCACAGAGTTGGAAGGGACCTCGGGGGGTCTTCTAGTCCAGCCCTTTGCTCAAACAGGAGACTCTCTACCATTCTGGGCAAATGGCTGTGTAATCTCTTCTTGCAACCGTTCTTCCTGTTTTATTTTCCAGTTCCCTTGATCATCTTTGTTCTTTTTCTCTGCACTCTTTCTAGAGTCTCAATATCTTTTTTGTATCGTGAGAATATTGCACCCAGCCAAACTGGGTGCAATATTCTACGTATGGTATTACTAAAGCAATACTAATATGTCACATGATCATGATTCTATCCCTCTGTTAATGCAACCTAGGATTGTGTTGGCTTTTCTGGCTGCTGCTGCACACTGCTGGCTCACGAATAAGAACAGAACAGAATAGAATAATGGAATGAAGAAGAGAAGAGAAGAGAAGAGAAGAGAAGAGAAGAGAAGAGAAGAGAAGAGGAATAAGGAAGAATGGGATAGGATAGAATAGAATAGAATAGAATAGAATAGAATAGAATAGAATAGAATAGAATAGAATAGAATAGAATAGAATAGAATAGAATATTGGGATGAAGAATAGAACAGAACAGGATAGAAGCTGGAAGGGACCTTGGAGGTCTTCTAGTCTAGCCCCCTGCTCAAACTGGAGAACCTATAACATTTCAGATACGTGGCTGCTAGTCTCTTCTTGAAAACCTCCAGCGATGAAGCACCTATGACTTCTGAATGCCAGCTTTTCCACTGGTCAATTGTCCTCAATGTTAGGAAGTTTCTCCTTAGTTCAAGATTGCTTCTCCCCTTGATTAGTTTCCATCCTTGGTTTCTTGTCCTGCCTTCTGGGGCTTTGGAGCATAATTTGACCCCCTTCTTCTTTGTGGCAGCCCCTCAAATACTGGAAGGCTGCTATCATGTCACCGCTAATTCTTCTTTTCTTTAGACTAGCCAGGTCCAAATTTAAATGATTGACTCCAAGATCCCTCTCAACAGTTACTGCTTGTTTGGCCAGGTTTCACCTAATCTGTACTTGTACATTTGATTTTTCTTGCCTAAGTGTAAAAGCTTATTTTTCTCTATACTGAATTTCATTGTGTTAGATAGGGCCCAATTCAAGTCTGTCAAGATCCATCTGGATCTTGAGCCTATCTTCTAGGCTGCTGGCTATTGCTGCCAGTTTAGTATCATCGGCAAATTTGATAAGTTTCCCTTCTATTCCCTCATCTAAATCATTTATGAACATGTTGAGGAGTACTGGGCCTAAGACGGAACCTTGTGGCACCCCACTGCTTACTTCCCTCCATGTAGATATAGTTCCATTTTGATCTACAGGCTGAGTGTACCCTGTCAGCCAGTTGTGAATCCATTTAGTGTCTACATTTTCCTATCTTTCCAAGAAGTAGGCTATGGTCTACTTTATCAAAGTGCTTCGACATCTAGTGGCCTCACCCACCTTCTCAACAGCCAGCTTCTGTATCTTCTCTTCGGAAGAGCAACGGTCAAATTCTCCAAGCACCACAAAATTGTTGGTCCTGCAGGAGGCAAACAAAAAGGTGAATGCCAGGCACACATCAAGAAAGCGAAGACGATAAAGCAGGAAGGGTTACATTGAATACTTTATTTAAAGAGGAAAATACGTTCTTATTTGGATATCACTTCTGGAATTTGTGCTTGTGAAGAAAAAAAAATGAAACTCTGATTTTGGTTTTGTTGATTAGAAAGATTTGGTGTTATAGAAATGGTTAGTTTCTATATATTAACGTGTAAAAGCCAAACGTGGAGATTGGAGTTTTATTTATCTTGTACTGTGCTAGGATGAGTTGGAAGTCAATGCCCCCCCCTTTTCTTCCTTTTTCTCTTCCTCCTTGTATTTCACACCCCCTTTTCCCTGCTCCCTTTCCTTCCCTTAATTTCCTATTTTCCTTTCTTTTTTGTACTTTATACAATAAAAAATTTTAAAAAATGAAAAAGAAAGCATGGGGGCACAGCACAGCTTGGCATCCACCTGCAGAAGTGGGTAGGTGACTTCAACAGCCCATAAAATAAAATTATGTGCTCAAGAGCTCACAAACAAACAAGTTGAAGTCCTGGAGGGTCTTTCAGAACAGGGGTCTCCAACCTTGGCAACTTTAAGACTTGTGGACTTCAACTCCCAGAATTCCTCAGCCAGCTTTTCAAAACGTAACATCACCAAACCGGTAGTTACCCCGGTCGGATCCCACCCCTGGTCCTAAGTCCCTTTTTTAAGTACTGATGTAACTTTGAACGGTCACTAAGCGAACTGTTGTAAATTGAGGACTATTTGTATTACCACCCACTTTTAAAGCAAAAATCCAGCGTGATCTTTTTTTAACCAAATGCCACCATGCCTGAATACCGTTTACAAATGACAATTACAAAAAGGTTTTCTGTTCTTAGCCCAAACCCATCTTTCCTTTTCTCGCTTGCTTTACGTAAGGTAAAGGTAACGGCTCCCCTCCTCGCAGATGCGTGCTACTCATTCCCGGCTCTAGGGGGCGGTGCTCCTCTCCATTACAAAGCCAAAGAGCCAGCGCTGTCCGAAGACGTCTCCGTGGTCATGTAGCCAGCATGGCTAAATGCCGAAGGTGCACGGTGTTACCCTCCCACCAAAGGGGTCTCTATTTTTCTCCTTGCATTTTTTTACGTGCTTTCGAACTGCTAGATTGGCAGAAGCTGGGACAAAGGAACAGGAGCTCACTCCATTATGGGGATTCGAACTGCCGAATTGCTGACCTTTCTGATCGACAAGCTCAGCGTCTTAGCCGTTGAGCCACCTTTTAGCCCTTTTAGAGACCTATCCTTAATGGTCTCTCAAAGTCCATGATTACTTGATGGCACATAACCCATCAATCGAGTTGCTTCTCTACTAGTATTCATTTTAATCGAGTGAAATTAAAGTGTTGGCCCCCAGCTAACTCATAAGGGCAGAGTTTTGCTCTCCCAACAATAGTTCCTTCCTCCTTAGTGAACTTCAGATGTGATCCTCATCCATCCTCACAGTTCCCAGGCGCCCTCGGCTTTTTCTCTAACTCCCAAGGTGCGTCTCAACAGTTCCAACAAGTTTGAGAAGGTCTGCTGCCTTAATCTCTTGGAATCTGATCAATAAGCGTCTTAGCCACTGAGCCACTGTGTCCCTTAATAAGTAAGTAAGTAAGACATACACACTTGTTATTGCCCCAAATATCTCCCCTACAAGCACCACTGCCTGATGCAACTTCCCCCCTCCACAAACACAGCAAGGAAGAAAGTGTGTACTCACGTCACTCCACAATGGGCTGCTGTTACCACCCAGTTTTCGTTAACCAGGGACCCACCGCAGAAATGCCATCCGCTTGGCTCCTGCGAGGAAAGCCAACACAAAGACGTTGTAAGACCCATGTCAGACTGTAGTTGGCAAGAGATACACCTTGTATGGCCCCGGAGAACTGCTGGGAGCTAAACAAGGCCAGGATAGATCCGGTACTGTTCAGGTAACCTAACCCTCCACGGTTTAAATGCAGGTGTCTCCCATTTCCTCCTCAAATGGGGTTGAGGATCAGGCCTGGACAATTTAGAATTGTAGAATTATAGAATAACAAGAGTTGGAAGGAACCTTGGAGGTCTAATTTCATCATCTCTTTCATTTCGGTTTTATGATCTCTTCATCGTGGCCCTTCTACCTTCTTCCAGGGATATCCAAAAGATATGGTTAAAAAAAAAAAAATAAGATAGTGGCCACAACAAAACAAGGCTAGCTCTATCCAAGAAGTATATAAAAAATGAGGAACTCTTCCATCACATCACTATATATTGCCATTCTGGTGGGTGTTTTTTCTCACTATATTCTGCAGGCATCTCTATTACCTGGATCATTGGCTTTATGGCTTAGCACCCGAAGGCCAGACAAGGAACAATGGATGGAAACGGAACAAGGAGAAATTCAACTTGGAAGTAAGGAGAAACTTTCTGACAATGAGAACAATCAACCAAAGGAACAGAAGTTGCCCTCGGAAGTTGTGGGAGCGCCATCACTTGAGACTTTCAAGAAGAGACTGGACTGCCACTTGTCAGAAATGGTGTAGGGTCTGCTCCTTGGGCTGGGGGTTGGACTAGATGACCTCCAAGGTCCCTTCCAACTCTATAAATCTGTTCTCTGTTATCTTTGCCTACAAGACAGGGGCAGATGCCCGCATTCTTCGCTGGGCTCTGAAGGGGCATCTTAGCTGGCACAGAGATTCAAGCGAAGCTCTTGAGGAACGTGCTGAGAAAGGCCGGTTCTTCCTAGGGTTTGTGGATAATTATATGGGCGGATTCTCTGAAAGCAGGAGAATTCGGAGGACTCTGCAGAAGCAGAAGTGGGTGAATGTGTATATACACATATATACACACATATACATACATACATGCACATGCACACAACACACAACACACAAATACACACACACACACACACACATATATATATGAAAACAAAAAAGTCGATGCCACAACTTACTACAAAAATTGCATATATGATTTGTTTTTCAAGGTGGAAAAACTTAATAAAAATATCTTTAAAAAAAAAAAAAAGAATTTCCAGGTTTTGTCTTCCCTTAGGTAAGAACTGTGTATGCGATGCCCATGAAAAGCATAACATCGCACTATCGCAGCTGCCCTTGTGGCATTTCTGACCACAAACCACAGCTATCTTTGCATGGGCATTTTTTGGGCGGGGGCAGGGCCACCTTAACAGCATTATGGGCCCCGGGCAAAGCAGTGTCCTGGGTCCCCTACCACAACTACTCACAGGAATAAAAATGTAAATAGCCAATAAAATTAAACCTATATTTGCATGTTACTATCAACTAAAAAAACGCAGTAAAATGTCATAAATGTGTTGCTGTATTTATATGACACAAGGTGCATTGAAGGGTGAATGTATCTTGTGTCATATATATGTACACAGATTAGTATGGGGCCCCTATGCCCATCAGGCCCATGTGTTAAAACAGCCCTGGGCACAGGGTGGGGGCGGACAGGAGAGGAGGAGGAGAGAAAAAATATGGAACAGGTTGCAGAAAGGCAAGCACAGAAGACCAAGGCCTGGGTGCTCCAAACTGCAACTGAAATAAAATCAGAAGGAAAAGTGGGGAGACCATATGGAAGGAAGTAACGGAAGAGAATGCCATCTGGAGACCTCCTCATATAAAGGATGTGCAGAAGGTGTGCCCAGCGTACAGTAACAGCTTTGGGTGGAAAGGCTTGGATGACTGTACCCTGTATTAGTGTGTAGTAACTCATTTGCACATTGAAAGGTTGACTTGAGTGGAAACCTGATTCTACTCTTAACAGATCAACAGAGTTGGAAGGGACCTTGTAGGTCATCTAGTCCAACCTCTCCCCCCCCCCC